AAATTAGAATGAGCAGAGGCAAAGGGGGAAAGGAATGCATGAATATGTTTCAATTTGATACTGTTTCTTCCACCCCATTTTTTTTCCACCTTTGCTGGAGAGTAAAGGCCTTTCATTCATTACCATGTAATAGATGACCCTCGTGGATCTCCCTTTAAACGTTAGTCCAGAGACTTGTAATGCATTTTTATACAATTTTTCCCTGAAAGTGTTTGTATTCTTTCCTTTTGATCAATGAAATATGAAATGGCAATTTCTGCAATCCCCTAAGGAACCTGGGGAATAGTAAAAACTGGCAAATCCGATCTCTGCCTCAAGCTTTGCCCTCACATGTGTATTAGCAGTGTTTATAAGGTTACACATGAGTATTATGGATAAATTACAACCTTCTGGAGAAACCATCTGAGACAGAATCCAACCTTTCTTTCATGGTCTACAGCTGGAGAATGGGTGTTCTTTTGCTTAAAGAGAAGGACCAGGAACCTCTCCATCCCTAGTCCTTTTAGGGTTTTATATGACCTTAAATTGATTTATTAAATTTCCCAATTCCTCTTAAAGCAGGAACAATAATACTTCAGTGCATTTCTTGTGTGGTTTGTGCCAAGAGCTCTGTGTCCTGGGGTTATTTAGGCCAATGGATATCTATCAAAGCAAGTATTTTTATATCTTTCTACAATCCGCTCAACCACCTGAATTATGCTGCCAAAAGAATGTATTCTCCCTTGTTTGGCGTGCGCTACCCAGGCAGAGCTCTTAGCTTTCAAATAATCCCATAACTTCACTACACTCAGCAGCAGGAGGAAGCCTCAGGCAGACCACCATGCACTGGCTGGAGCCAGACCCTGCAAGAGCATGAATGCAAAACTCGCCAACATCAATCCCTAATGAATGTCTTTCATCAAAATAAAAAGATGGAGTGAATGTGTGTTAGCTCCGGTCTATGACACAATTTTAAATGCTTTTGTATAAACCAGGGGAAAACATCAAACTTGTTCACCAGTGTGTGCTCCTACAGAAAATGAATAAAGAAGATTATTTTTTACAAAATAACCACTTTATCTGTGACCTCTTAAGTCTTGATCCTGAGCTTAAAACCTGAACACTCGTAATTACTGATATTAAACATTACAGACTCAGTAGAGATGTTTTATGGCACATTATGATTTCCATACTTCTCCCACAACCAATAATTACGTCTCTGTATCTCCTAGGGGTTAATTATATCATCGCCTTTCTTCTTGCCAAGACTTCCTTTCTGTTCCACAAGTATCAGCCCCTTTATGTCTCAAATTATCTAACTGAATAATATAAATTAAACTGGAAACTAATTTCTTCAATCCATATTTAGTTTTCTAAGGTTTTTATCAACATCAGTCCTGAAAAGATTGCGTATCTAAAATTTTGTCTGATTTTCAAGCAATGAAGTGCTGTCTCTCCCTGTAAATCTTGACCCATCACGTATAAAAATACCAATCACGTAACTGTTACTTCTCACCAGAGGGAAAAAATCAGTTACATAAAACTGAAAGAACAAAAATACATAAATAATAACACTTGGTGGTGGTTTGATGAGCATAAAATAAGGGCAATGTCAACTTTGCTGCCGTTAAATTAGCAGTACCTAAGCAGCTCTGATGCTGAGGTTTGAAGCGCAGCAGATCTCAGTTTCTAATGCTCCCCTTAACTGCTGTCTCCACACAGTTGATGTCTTGTGGATAAGGATCCTCTTTAGTTTTACTTCATGCTGATAGATTGGGAATCTACAGTCTTCCTGCAGTAATGGCTCCCATCACAGAGCTCTGATATGCCACGCTGACACATAAAGGATGTTACATCTATTTTCGTGTGAATAAACAGAACCACATCAATAAATCAATCAAGAACGCTCCCCAGCTCCTCAACTGAGCATGTGAGGCTCTTCCCTTGTGAGGGGAGACGTCGCAGAGCAAGAAGCAAAGGGAACTGCACCACCTGCACCGCACCTTTTGGAGAAGAGAAAGAAAACCTCAGAACAGTGCATAACTAATAACACGAGTTCACCAGTGGGTGGAATGCTCCAGGTTCTCAAAAGGTGACGTGCCGATTCAAACAGTTACAAGTTAAAAAAGACATTACTGCATCGTTTCACCACACGGTGGCACTCAAAGCGTTAAAGATGGGAACACGGGGCAAGGTAAGGAGGTGCGGCCAGCCTGGTTGTCCAGTTCAGCTCTTTAGTCGCTGAAGATACTGCAGTGACCTCTCGGCTTCAGGGTCTGTGAGTCTCCTGGGACAGCTTCAAGATCAGAAAAAATAGAGAGCACATCTTGCTTTGTCGAAAATGTTTGAAAACCGCTCCTCACAGGACTGTATGTAACAAAGGGATTAACATAAACCTCATTTTATTGTACCCCCGATATTTCTTCTCCCCCAGTCTCCTCTTCCCCCTTCTTGCAGCCTGCCTAAAATCTGGCCTGGCGGGGAACGGATGTGCACGGACAGTCTAAAATTTTGCCAAGTTAACATGATGCCAGCCCTTAAGTCAATATCAGCCTTTCAATAACAGAGCAGAGCTTGACTGGGAGCTTTGGGAAAAACATTCTTCCACCAAAGCCATGGGTCAAACTGCTTTTACATTAATGAAGCTGCATCAGTCTTAGAGAGAATGCAAAAGTCATCCACACAACACAGCGCCGCTTCTACAGACAAACGCGTTTCGATGCACTGAAATGTGACCGGACTGATGGAAAACTGAACATCCTTTGGCAAGCCGTTTCCAGGGAATATGACCTCATGGATGAAAGACAACACTAAAAAACTCTTGAGCAATGTCCGTCAGTGTAAACTACCGACAAGATACACTGCAGATGGCACAGACAAATTTTCAGAGAAGCTTAGGAGTGTCCTCAATGTAATTTTCTCCACTTTCTCCACACTACTTGAGACGCAGCCTTAGAGAACAGTCCTTGGCAGGAGAATGTAGTCTGTGGTATCGGGATTGGTTTGAGTTTGCCTCACAATATTGATATCCTCTCTTCCTGACAAAGCATAATTCAGTCACTTCAGACCTGATCTATTTTAATGCAGTACAAGCGTCCTACATCCTCTGCTATTAGGCTGTTTTATTTGTCATTTGTTTATAGTGTTTAATTATTTATGCTATTGAATGTATTTTGCTTAGAGATGTATTTTAGTGGAGGTACAGCAATTGCACCTTTCTCTAACCATGAAAATCAATCCACAAGATAGCAGGATGAGTCTGCACTTCTCAGGACTCAAGAGTAATTCTGGTTTTCAGCCATCACCCCTCTCCCTTCCTCACTGCATGGGCCTGGATCAAGAGGAAACGAC